TTCTCCAGCAAAGGAGAGACCACCGCCTCTTTTAAACCCTCTGGAAAGACTCCTTGCTCAAGAGACAAGCACTTGAAGAATGGACAGAAAGTTTGATTTAATCTCTATGCCATCTTTCTCCCAGAGTTGAACCCAAGGCAGCTTCCAACAAAATGCAATTGTAAATTCCCACAGTACACATTTTAAAATTATTTCAACAACAAATAAAAATTTTAATAGACAAGTAAAATATCCTTATAAAAAGCTCCCTTTTATACATATTAAAAGCCCACCTAAACAAAAAGGTCTTTGCTTACCAGTGAAAGGAAAGCAGGGAAGCATCCTATAAAAGGCCATTCCAGAAGGTAAGAGAAGCCATCAAGATGGTTCTCTTTCATATCCGCACCAAGCAATCCTGCAATGGTGGTGGGACAGGAAGAAAGACTTCCTCTGTAGATCTTTAAACACTGGTAGGATTGCATGGGAAGAATGGGATCAGAGCTATCAAGAACCATGCTCCAAAATCAATTACATTGTCTCCTCTTGCTCAGTTATTATAGCACACAGTTGTTAGTTCTCTGAGGAGTAACACAATTTCAGTCCTCAGGAAAGAAAGGAGCAGCTTTGGGAGAATTCTGTATATGGAGGGACTCTTGCCAGACCCCAGAGTAAGGAGAGACATATGGTGGTGGTAGGCAATTCCATGATGAGAGGAAGAGAAGCATTGGTATCTACTGTCTTTGAGGGGTAGAGATCCCTGATGTAACAGAGAGGCTAAAAAGGTTCATTTTGCTCATCATGTTGTGGTAAGGTCTCAATATAAGCCTTGAACAGGAAACTTAAGAAACTTGGTGCACAGTTTGTTCTTCCCTTATTCCTTCTTGTTGAAGGAAATAGTCCAGGAAGTGAGAGATGTCTACTAAAAGGGATCAATGGTCTCCCCAGATTGTGTCATTTTGAACACTGGCTTCTTGAAGAAAGATGTCTGGAAAAAGATGGCCCTCACAGTAGATGGTAAGACTGTATCTGCCAGGGGTCTAACAAAATTGATCAGGAGGACTTTAAAGTGAGATGTGGGGAAAGGAAAATAGTATTGGACAGGGGGACACAATGTACTATTGACAACAGCCTCAGTGATGCAATTGCTAGCAGAGGAGGACAATTACGAAGCAGCTAAATCATCCTAGATACCCCTATACCAGGAGTGAGCAACTATGCAGAAAAGATCATTTTCACAAGCCACATCTTTTCTCCTCCAACTGTTTCTCTTTGTCTCTTACTCAGAATGGGGGAAGAGAAGTGACAGCATGCTGTTTCCATACTGAAGGAGAAACAGAGAGAAAAGAAGGTGTTTAATAGAAGTCGTGGTTCTGATGGGATTCTGGAAGCATGGAGAAGAGGTGTTGCATTTCTACATATCCTAAAGAATTTTGAGTATGACATTCAGGTGATTTTTACCCAACAATGGTAATGATAGTTTTTAAGTGGAGGTATTGTTTGTTTGTTTATGTTACATCCTGCTTTTCTCTTAGCACAGGATAGAAGCAAATAACAAAAATGCATCTGAAAAAAATATGGTAGTATAAAGGTAAGAAAATGAAGAAAGAACAATATATTAGAAACAAAATTAAAACAGTTTAAAACATAATAAAATGGGGAAACAAGCATCATGCCCCCCCCACCCCCCGCAAAGCTCTTTGCAATGAGAAGTTAAGAATCAGGCCTAACTGGTGGAAAGAGAACAAAGAGGATCCTCAAGACACTTGTTGCAGGCTTCAGTGGCTATCCTTCCCAGTTTTATACTAATGCACAATGCTTCAGATATATTATGAACTTGAATTTTTAACCTGGAAAGTATGGTTTAATAGGCATCACTGAAACCCAGTGGGATGAGCCTATATGGCAGTGCACATTTTTGCATCGTTTTGTCTCATTTATGTAACATAGTTTTTCATTGTTTTTATTTTACAGATATATAATAATTATTATTTTTCCTGTTTTTGTCTATATGTGTTTCTCATCTATATCTGTTTTAATGTCTGTAACCTGCTTGGAGTCTCAGTTCTACTGGGAAAAAAACAAGATCTAAAAAATAATACCAATACTAATTACATGTATATTATTATTATAGATTCCAGAACCTAAACAGAATTGTTTTATTTTTCCCTCAGTTCGATACCGTATTTCCTTATAGCCAGCTGTTTAGTAAATGGAATATGGGTTATCATGATCTCAAAAGTGTAACTTTAATAAGGATTGTCACAATCTGACAAGTATAACTTCTCAAGCATTCTAAAAGCTTTCAATCAGGATGATGTATTTTCTTATTAAAACACTGGTGCTGCTGTCTTTGACACTGTCACCATCATATAAATAGGTTTAAAATATGAAACATATATCACCGTATAAATAGGCTTAGAATATGAAACACATTTAAGTGAGAAAGGACTGGTACACAGCAACAAAAACATCTCAATGTCAAGTTAAATTTAGTATTTTGAGAAAAGTAGCTTGTGTTCTTTTAATTAACACATAATGCCTAATTTATCACAATGTATTTGTCTGTTGCACGTTCCCAAATTTTGAAACTTTTACTTGTCTATTTGATATTATTATTCTGGCAGCTACTGCAGATTACAGCTAATATCCCCTTTGATACTGACAGATGATAAATGGCCACTGGTGTACTTATGCAGGAGTTTTGGAATGGCAGCTACTGCCATGAAGCTCGTAAGAACAAATGGGAACCTTTTGGCACATTCCTGTCCAATCAGTGGCAGTTTGAGCCTTGGGTTTAAAGCTGTTTCCGGCAGCCACCTGGCCACTACTGTACAAGCAGGATGAAACTATGGTACAAGAAAGTATTGGACAGACTGAAATGGTTTAGGCCAGAGCTTTCTAAACTGTGTGTCACAAGTAAGTATGTCAGCTACAGAGTGTATGTATGTATAAATATGTGAGAGGAAGCCACAGGGAGGGAGGGAGCAAGCTTGTTTTCTGCTTCCCTGGAGACTAGGACGCGAACAATGGCTTCAAACTACAAGAGAAGAGATTCCATTTGAACATTAAGAAGAACTTCCTGACTGTGAGAGCTGTTCAGCAGTGGAACTCTCTGCCCCGAGTGTGGTGGAGGCTCCTTCTTTGGAAGCTTTTAAACAGAGGCTGGATGGCCATCTGTCAGGGGTGATTTGAATGCAATATTCCTGCTTCTTGGCAAGGGGTTGGACTGGATGGCCCATGAGGTCTCTTCCAACTCTTTGATTCTATGATTCACAAATGTATCAAGAAACCTATATTATAAGCACAGTGCAGGAGACAAGCTGGAATTGCCTTCCTGACCCCTCTCTTCACTCTGATCTCAGAGCAGTGGTTGGTGCTGGATTTGGGGGGGGGGGGCTCCCAATTGATGACACTGGAGGCAAGTTGGAACTGCCTTCATGGCCCCTCTCTTCATTCTAATCTCAGAGCAGTGGTTGGTGCTGGAGGGGAGGGGGGGGGCTCCCAACTGATGACACTGGAGGCAAGATGGAACTGCTTTCATTGCCCCTCTCTATCCTGCTATGCTACCCCAAGGTCCTTGAGATCTCTGCTGTAGTGCTATCACTGAAAGCAACCTCCCCCCAAAAAACAAGATGTGCAGAGCATGAGATAGCTAGTACTCCTGTATGCCTACTGGAAGTTCTAATGCCCTACTCTGGACAGTACTGTATTCAGCTTTCTGGTGACCCATCAAGTAGATGTCAAGTTCAGAATCCACAGTGAGTCTGAATAAAGTCACAGAAAAGGAAATCACAACACTTGAATATTTATATGTCATCTTTTCATCATTTTTCATCAAGCTGAAAGCTGCTAAAAATTAAATTAGACATTTCTTCATATTAAAAAATAAAGTAAAATAAAAAAGCAAACCAGCAAACCAGAACAAGAGTAGATTAATTAAAATAAAATTCAAACATAAAATGCCATCCTTATTTATTGTTTTTTTAAGTTGGGAGGACTGTTCTGGCTGACTTGGATTATGTAATCATTGAACAAAAAATATTAGAAAATCACTGACTGAAAATGGAAAGGTTTTTCCTTGTTTTTGTGTATTGAGGTCACAAATAGGAATCATACAAACATTTAGATGGTGCTGGAATGAAAGTCCCAGCAGCTCTAGCCAGAATAGCTAATGATAAAAAATATTGGAAGCTACAGTTCAACAATATCTTTAGTACATTTGTATCCTGTCCTTCTCGCCCCTGGGGGGAGGGGGGGAATCAGGGAGGTATCACAATCAGTAATCATTAGATGCCCAAACAAGACATTAATAAAAGCAATTTACATTTAAAACAATAGTTAAAATATCACATATAAAGTATACAATTAAATTATTCAAATTCAAGTCATAGTCCAGGTCAGTCAATTGTCACTCTAATTGTCAGTCCAATAAGTCGTCCTCATTGCGTTCTACGGGGTCTGCTATGCGGTCAATTAAGCCCCTGCAATCCAGCCATGTTCTTAGGACATTCTTCAGCTACTCCTCCTTCCAAATCCTATAAAACGCTTCAGCAATGGCAGGTGCCTACAATGCTTTCTGCATTCTATAGAGCCAATTTCACCCTGAAAACCTCATTAAATGGTCAGTATAGATCATTGCTTATTAAACCGTGGATCCCAACCCCAAATGGGCCCCCCTTAGATTAATGTTGGGGTCCCGAAAAAAAATGGCAACAGTAAGCGTTTACTGAATGTCACCTATTGGCTGTTTCAGACATTTATACTAATCTGTTATGCAATGTTTACAGTGCTTAAGGTGTACTTTATAAAAAGAAAAATCAGCCTGTTAAGCAAGCTTTGCAAATGCTGATTTGTTATCAGTAAATTCTTGGCTTTTATACCTAAGGCCCCATGCAAATTTCTCAAGCCAAAAGGGATCGCAAGTGGAAAAGTTTAAGAAGCCCTGGTATAGATCAACCCTATATCCATCCCCAGTCATAGGCTTTAAGCATGAAGTCCAAGGCTGAACATTGCTTTCTTACCTAATACGATCTTCTGCATTGGTAACTGCATCACTGTACTGAGACAAAGTCATTTTGTAGATTTCAGAATTCTGAAAATTAAAAAAAAGCAACATTCAGCATAACAAAGTTTCTAAAACTGCACAGTCTGGTGCAATGATCCTTAAATAAAACTTTAAAAATGGATAAGAAAAGAAGTGATGTATTTATGTATTAAAGTAGTCTTCACCAAACTGATACTCTTTCAAGCAATGATCTGCTGCCATCAACCGCTACACTGGCAATGTTGTCTGAATGCCCTATCACTGTTTCCCAAAGCAATTATTTTATTCTCAAAATGGAAAATGGAATTTCAGTGAACAACAAAAAATATTTGAAGATGGGCTTAAATCTAACCTTTTAAAAAATGTGAAATAAACTCCAAGAATTGGGAAGCCTTGGCCCTCAAGTGTTTTTACTAGTGGTCAGCTGTTACTAAAAGTGCTATGGATTTTGAGGAGGCACAAATAGAGGGCGAAAGGGAGAAACATGTCAAGAAGAAGACGTGCCAAGCAAACCCTTGTCAGGACTGCCTTCCATCTGGAAATGTATGTCCTCACTGCGAAAGACCATACAGATCCAGAATGGGTCTCTACAGTCACTTATGGACCCACCATCAAGACTCTACCCTTGGAAGACAATCATACGTGGCCATGAGTGATCGCCTATAGTGATAGACCCTTCCAAACTTTAGCTATGCTAACTAGAAAAAATGGGAGCTGTCCAAACATTTAGAAAAAGGACACCAAAGGAAGGGACCCTCAGAATGAATAAGCCTGTGAAAATAAAGGCTTACCAAACTGATTTACATCACAACCTATCAGCATCTCTGTAGTATATGTGCACATAATCTGCTATAGTGTGATAAGCACATAGATGCTCATTGTATTCAGTATTAAAATCCAAAGTAAACAACAAAGAAAACAAATGAGCTGTGAAGGGTTCATACTCTTCCTGGCAACTTATGCCTTCCTGGGTATACGTCTCATGCCTAGAAAGCTCGTGTGTCTCACAGGAACAACATGACCTGTCATTTCTGGCTAAAACTGAAGGCCATAACAAAATTAAAACCATCAAACACTGCACAGGTCAAGAGAAAGAAAAATCAGTATTTATTTTTAAGTGGTCGCTTGAAAATATATCAGATTTTGTTTTTATTAAATGCCGCTGAAACTTAACATGCCACAGAAATGTTACTGGCACAGCAACTTCACTTTATAAAGTGAAGCCATGCAAAGAAATTCTATCTAAACTGAAAAGAAGCAGTTGACTCGGAGCTGACAAGATAGCAAACAATACACAAGATATTCCACATCCCAGACCAGAAAAACAATGATGAAAAATCTTAAGGGGAGTGAGAGGGTCTGTTTTACTGGCTCGTCTTGTGATCTCTAATTATGCCATGTGTCGCTCCATTGCTTCCATGTTTTCTTCTTGATGTTCTAGGCCTCAAGATAACCATATTCAGATGCTCACTCTGTGGAACATTTGCTCCCAACGCCGTTATCACACAAAGCCTGGCTTCCCAAACATGGGTCTGCAGATGTTGCAGCGCTACAGTTCCCAGAAACTCTAGCCAACTTTGCCAATGGTCAGGGCTTCTGGGAGCTGCAGTAGTGTGGCTTGGGACAAAAGTTTGAGAACCATTGACCAAGTATGGCTCTTCTTGATCTCCAACAAAGGCATATGGAAACATTTACTATTTTAATAGTGACAAGCTAAACAGGTCTACACAAATCAATAGAGTAGACTCTCAGTTAGCTGCACCCATGGAGATTAGTAGATGATGGAGTTTTGGTTGCTTGAGTTCTGGTTAACTGAAAGTTTATTACAATCCATTCAGAGATTTGAGTAGGGAGGGATTAAGTTTCTCAAGAAAAAACTGACATTTTCTTTTTGCATTCTTGCTTGTCATTTACAGATTTTATCAGGATTATTTCAAGTTTTATTTTTCCTCCATCACAGCTGCTAAGATAAAAATTTTCCCCCTGTGTTTATGCTTACTTTCTTGCAATCCCTTGCCAATATTAAAGGGAAAAACACATAAAGGTCACTAATTCTTTATAAATGAACTGGCTTATACAAACATGTTATAATATCTGTTTCAAAATTGCTGTATGAATGCATTATTCTTAAGTTTATTATTATGCATTATGGAATTAAACAACAGGAGAGATTTCAGTTGAGATTTGCTCTCACAGATTTTGACTTTTTTAAAAGTCTGTTTGCGGAAATGAGAAATCACAGATGCACCCTCACCTCAAAATGCATTTTGGCAGTGAGCTGCTAAGAGATTGTAGTTGTTTTTATGTTATATAAGATTCTATTTTATTTTTCTTTGTCATCCCCCTCTATACACTTGCCAAAAATATGGAACTTACAGATTTTAACAACACTTTTTTATTGTCCTACAGCTCATTTCTATCTTTTATTCTAATCTGAGAAAGCCAAAGACCTTTGATCCACTAATTAAAATTGTTATTAAAAATTAAATATTGTGAATAAGTAGGTCCAAGCATTCCCTCCATGGGTTTCATAAGTCTCACTGTTTCTCCAATTACTTCTCAAGCAATTTTCATGTTTCATACAGTCTGATCTCTCACAGGACTTGGATTTGCAAGATCAAAAAGATGACAAAAAGACTGAAAAAGCGAGCAAGAGTGGAGGGTACCCAAATGGACTATTTTGTAGGAGTCCCATCAGATACTATTAGCCAACAGCAATATGCAATGAAACAGCAGCAGGAACAGGAAACAGAAACAAATATGTTGTACATGAGTCTCAGCATGAAGCTGGCATTTAACCCACCTAGGACAGAAAAAAGAAAAGAAAAGCAGCCAACAGGCTTATTCCCAGGGAAGCACTTTCTTTTTGTTGGTTGTAAAAGGAACATTGTCTGCATAAAACAGAGAGTACAAGAATGTGGTTCTCCAATGGTGTCAAAAAGGCAGAAAAGGCTATTATCGTCCACCATATTTCTCAGGTATCTTTCTATGAGTTGCTCAAGGCAATGTATAATATAACCATTTTTTAAAAATACATTTCAAAATACAATGCAAATGAAGAAATTGCAATAAAAACCACACCAGAATTAAGAGAAGCCTGCAAAATAAATTCTAGATTGGAATATTTTTTAACTACAAAAAGTACTTTATCTTCTAGTATAGGAGACAGGCACTTATAGCTCTTCAAATGTTGGACTACAACACCGTTATCCCTATGTAATGGTGAGGGATACTGGACACTGCAATTCAAAGGCTCTTTTCCAGTATAATATGATTGGCAGTTCTTCTTCATAAGCAGATCCCCAATGAAGAAATGTCATCCCCTATTGTCTTCACATTTAGATGACAGCCTAAGATTTTCTCTCTGGCAGGCATTTAGTCTTTTAATTAGGGATTGTTTGTACTACCAGTTTTATTGCTAGCTTTCTAATATCTTAAGATTTTAATCAGCTATATCACTGTTGTGTTTATTTTTATAGATTATCTTGGGCTTTTATTATTATAAATTGCCCTGATGGCATATGTTGGTTAGGGGGTGTATACAATTGATAAATAAATAATTCTGAATAAAATCTACTTCCAAGGGTTGCCCAGTTCTCTAGAGCACATTTAAAGGGCCTGTAAGAAGCTGCAAGGAGGAGAAAAAGACACTGTGCCAACAATGACAGTTTGACTAGAATATGGACATAATTGGACAAAACCTGAACACTGGCAGATTCCTATAGAAAAGAGTGGATGCTACTACCAAAAATGCCCTACTTCATGGATGGGTGGATTATGAATCTCTAATAAATACCACACAAAGCAAATTTTCATCTGTGGATCTAGAGGAGGGGTTACATATAAATAAATGAAGGTCTTTACTTTATATTGATCTCCTCCACAATTTCCATTTGTGTGAGTTATGTGTGCTCACACTAAGTAGCTTTGTCTCTTCATCCAACGAAACCTCTCATTGTCCAGTATCTCCTCAAAGCCTACTTTTCTTAAAATAGTCTGCCCAGAGCAACTGAGCCACATATATCCAATACTTAACTATAGGTGATGCTTCACCTTACAATCAGTGACATTTTGGTTGCCCTAAGGCCTCTATAAAGAAAAGATGGAATTTATTTTTGGGCAAATCCCACCAGCTGCAAACCAAAAATATAAAGGCTGTAGTGTGACTTTGTTTGGGAAATAAAAGAAACCCCAAAACTAGCCCATGTCCAAAGAAGTTACAGTGGGCACAGAAGAAGGGAGGCAGAAACAGACAAAGGCTTGATGAAGATGCTCTCAGGTGCAGGGCTGAAACAAAGACAGTTTGATGAAGTGCTGTGTTTCAAAGAAGGATAGCAGGAACAGCATGAGAAAACACAGTTGAGGCCAAAGTTTCCTCTCCAGATCCTGGAGGGCAGACACTTCAATGCAAAATGCTATTTTCCTTAGCTCAATATATCCTTATTTGGATTTAATCATTTATGTTCATCTATTTGGTTTTCCTGTGACTTGGGACAACAGATTTCAAGCATGGTTAGCTGCTCATCAACTTTACTAATATCTTCTTGAAACCTAGGAGACAACTGTGCAATAAATGAGGGAATCCAAGAGGAAACCGGTTGATTCCAAATGTCAAAGCTTTCAGAATAAGCCTTGAAGTTTGAGGGTATTACAGGCATTCATGTTCTCAATTTTATGCGTTTGGTTACATTTGCTTTCTATTAAGTAATGGTTCTTGCTAAACAGTAGAATTAGTAGCATACGCTTATGACTTTGATGTCCGGGACTTGACAGTGCTGAAAGCCCAAATACTGAAGGCAAATTCAAACACGGCACATTGCTCCCAAGAATTTAGAAAGATGTGACTGGCATGGCATTACACAGTTCATGTATTGCCAAAATGAGAAGGGGGTGCACATCATGCCCAGCCCTCATGTCTTTCAATGAGTAGCAAAAAGTCTTTGATGAAGACCATGCTCAAGCTATTTGCTCAGAAGTACAGTTCGTAATTTAGCCAGAGGTTGTAAAGGTCGTGGACACAGTTCTGTCATTACTAATTCCTTGGCAAA